TGATCGACCCAAAATCACCCAGCCAGCTTTCACGCCTAAGTCAGAACTATAACTCACAGTCTCCTGCTGATCGGCCCAAAGTCACCCAGCCAGCTTTCATGCCTAAGGCAGAACTATAACTCAATCTCCTGGTGATCAGCCCAAAGTCACCCAGCCAGCTTTCACGCCTAAGTGAACTAGAACTCACAGTCTCCTGCTGATCGGTCCAAAGTCACCCAGCCAGCTTTCATGCCTAAGGCTGCTTATTTTATTGTTTGTTAAATTTCCTCCCAATGGGAACTCTTTCTCAAATTATATCTGTTCTGTGTATCACTGGGACCAAGATAGTTAAACTAGGAGTGCCTGTGTGTATGTGTATGTGTGCATCTCTGTGTGTGTTTGTGTATTTATATACCATGACCTGGTCTTGAGGTGGGCTTTTGCATCTAAGCCCGGGTCTCTTAATCCTGATGTGATGATGTAGTAGTTTCTTCTGTTTTCTTCTCTTCTTGCGTTGTTTTACGATGGTCTTACTTTATGTGTCATTTAGAACTTTTGGAATGGAAACGGCTTCAAGGGAGTAAAAAAAAAGTCAAAATGACAGTCACAACCACACAATCAAAGCCTCACTCCAGTTTTAAATGCAAACACTCAAAGGGGTACAGGTAGTCCTCAATTTGCAACCGTTTATTTAGTGGCCGTTTTGCGCTTGACCTGTCCCACAAAAAAGGCTAAAAAATTGTTTTAGAAACTGACAAGAGTCAACTTCAAAATGAAATTGATAAGAGTCATCTTCAAAATGACATCTACAAAAGTCAATTTCAAAAATAAAATGGACAATCAATTTCAAAGATGAAATGGACAATCGGTTTCAAAAATGAATTTCAAAGATGAAATTGACAATCAAAAAAGAATTTCAAAGATGAAATTGACAATCGGTTTCAAAAATGAAATTGACAAATCGATTTCAAAAATGAAATTGACAATTGATTTCAAAGATGAAATTGACAATTGATTTCAAAGATGAAATTGACAATTGATTTCAAAGATGAAATTGACAAGATTTCAAAGATGAAATTGACAATTGATTTCAAAAATGAAATAGAAATTTTTCATGCTTGTCACCGTCACAATGTCCCCGTGATCATGTGATCAAAACTCACTTGGCAACTGACCCATATTTATGGCTATTGCTTTTGCGACCTTTTGACCAGCAAAGTCAGTGGGGAAGCCAGATTCATTTAATGACTGTGTTACTGACTTAAGAACTGTGGCCATTCACTTCACAACTGTGGCCAGAAGGGTCATAAAAATGTGGCAAAAGCCACAACAAACATCTCGCTTAGCAAACTGAATTTTTGGGCTCAGTTATGGTCATAAATCAGTGGTCTTCAAACTTGACAGCTTTAAGACTTGTGGACTTCCAACTCCCAGAATTCCTCCTCCAGTCATGTTAGCTGAGGAATTCTGGGAGTTGAAGTCCATAAGTCTTAAAGCTGTCAAGTTTGAAGACCCTTGTCATAAATTGAGGACTACCTGTAGTATCTTCACAAAGATAATTTCTTTGAACTGATGGCCCTGGTTTTTGCAAAAACAGGGAGTTATGCCTCAAATATACTGTAATTGCTTCAAGATTACAGGACATTATGATGATAGTCAGGTGTTGCCTATGTGACTCCATCATGCAGTGTTCTTCTACCAACATCCTTCTTTCTCTAGGTTTCTTCTCCAGAGGGACTACAGCTTTTTGAAGGACATCAACATCTGGCCTCCTTTTGTCATCATCGGGGTCTACTTTTCGACTCTCTCAGCTGCCATGAGCAACCTCATTGGGGCCTCCCGGATCCTTTATGCTTTGGCCAAAGATGACCTCTTCGGTGAGTAACCAGAGAAGAACATAGCAATGCTGTAGAACAGAGGTCTCCAAAATTGGTAACCTTAAGACTTGCGGACTTCAACTCCCAAAATTCCTCAGCCAGTCCAACTGTCCCAGCCAGTCTAGGAGTTGAAGTCCACAAGTCTTAAAGTTGCCAGGTTTGGAGGCTGGCTGGGGAATTGTGGGAGTTGAAGTCCCCAAATCTTAAAGGTGCCATGTTTGGAGGCTGGCTGGGGAATTCTGGGAGTTGAACCCCAAAGTTTCCAGATTTGGAGACCCCTGCTCTAGAAAAGCAGCCTTCTGTCACTCAAGAAAATTTGGACTTCATTCCATCATAAATGTGGATTCAGAAGGCCCAAAAGGATGAGCTAGGTCAAACGTTTGCCAAGCTCCCAAAGGTGCTTTTCCAAGAGGCAACTGGACTTTCTGGTTTTTCTTTGGAGGCATTTCGCTTCTCATCCAAGAAGCTTCTTCAGCTCTGACTGGATGATGGGGAATGGAAAGATTGATACTCCTTGCAGACAGCTGGTCACTTGCATCCTTTCAGAGGGTCGTTGAGGTCACCTGGAGGTTTATCTGTGTCCTCGAGGTCACCTGAGTGGTGTAAATGGGCATGGAGACTTCTTGGAACTGCTGTCACAAAACATGACCTCTGGACACTGCAACCGTTGCAAATATGAGTCGGTTGCCAAGCGTCTGAATTCTGACCACATGAGTTGCAACGGTTGTAAGTGTGAAAAATAGCTGTAAGTCACATTTTTCAATGCCATTGGCTGTAACTCGAGGGCTACCCGTATTTAACTCTTGAATTTCTCATACCTTACAAAATTGATCACAGATCTCCTGCCTAGGTGTATTATTCTGTTACGTTCTTTCTCTACATTTTCACTTTCTATAAGTCTTTACTGCTTCTATCCATGGCTTCAGTGTCATACAGTAAATCGATTTTTTAAAAATGGTGGTGGAAAAGTGCTAATTGTGGTACGTTCACGGCAAGTCACAACACACGAGCCCAGTGAGAAATGTTGCCACCAAAAACAGCTCAAAGCCCAGGTTGTGATTGATCAGTGACTGGTGAGATGCAGAGGTGGTCTTCAGCTGGTTCTGACCACTTCTGGAGAACCGGTAGAGGAAATTTTGAGTAGTTTGGAGAACCGGCAAATGCAACATCTGACTGGCCCCACCCCCATCTCTTCTCTGCTTCCCATTGAGTCCCAGCTGATCGGCTGGGTCTCCTTTGGTTGCCCTGCAGAGGAGAACGGAGCTGGAAAGCAGGTTAGTGGGGTGGGGAGGGAACGGGGATTTTGCAGTATCCTTCCCCTGCCACGCCCACCAAGCCACGCCCACAGAACCGGTAGTAAAAAACATTTGAATCCCACCACTGGTGAGAAGGGGTTTCTGACTAAAAGAATAACGCGGAGTTTGGATGAGAGACGATTATCTCAGGCAGCCAGGCTCTTCTTGAAAAAGCCAGGCCTGACCAGGTGGGTTGATGGATGGGGCACCACTCAGAAAGCCACAGTTATGAGCCACGGAGAAGCTGAACAAATCGTTGCAAAAGAAGTCGAGGGCATCCAATTTGTGCAGTATGAAAACTCCACGTGTCTCTGCTAAGGAGCTCAACCCCAAGGTAGCTTTATTTGTTTTTACTTCATGGGTGGAAAGAAGAATTAGAACATTAGTTGAGGAAAACCATTTCTATCCTGCCCAGTAGTGGATGAAACTGATCTCTTTCATAAGCCGGCCATATATATAAAAAAAAAAATTAAAAAAAGAGAGAGAAACACATACATTTCTTTGAACATATTCCCCAGCACAAATCTCTCTCTGCTTTGTTTCGGCGGCCATAGCAATATCGCCTGATGCAGTTAGAGAATTTCTTTACTCATTATTTTATGACCCTAATAATGCATTGCCCTAGTGAGGATTTGGGACTTCTCGCGGCCTCTTGCCTGCTTTATAGAAACGTATCATCCTACCAGGGACACAATATTTTTCTCGCGAATGGCCAGGAAGGCGTATGCCCAGCGATGGTGTTGAAAAAGCCAAGAATCTGCAGATTGCATGGCTACCCAGAGAGAAGGTGGAATTACAGTTTTAATAAATAAATTTCTGCCCTCAGACCCGACAAATTCTGCAGAAGTTTACGAGAATATAAAGGCACCGTAATAAAGAGCATACATTGTCGCTTTGGTTTCCTAGAACAATAAAAACAGAGTTATAAAGCCACAGGACTGGGAGGTAGAAATGACCCCAAAACCTCTTTGATAAATCAAAATCCTTTTGCTGGGCACCCAAGAAATGGGAAGTTGGGTTTAGTGGATCTGGAAAATGGTTCCACATTTGGGGGCCTCTACTTAAAAGGCCTTTTCCTGTCTCATCCTATTGCCTGGAGAACATCTTCTGATAGCCATGATTTATAGCCAGGGGAAGAAGCAAAAGCCGTAGTGGCATTGATGGTGTTACCTAGTTTGGTAATAAAACGTCTTCAAGAATACCACCATTCTCAGAGAGCACCAAGGACCACATAAAAGCTGAATTAAGTGATGTGTGCAGTTTCTTATTAAATTAAAAAAACGTTCAATTGGTCCAACCCCTTGTGGATTATGCCTTGCATAGAAGACCTATATTCAGGTACTCCTCAACGTACAACAATTCATTTAGTGTCCGTTTGTAGTTACAATGGCACTGAAAAAAGTGACTTAGGACCAGTTTTCACACTTATGACGATTCTGGCATCCCTGTGGTCATGTGATCAAAATTCAGGTGCTTAAATGACTCCTACTTATGATGGCTGGAGTGTTGGGATAGGTCTTAATTTCAGGGAAATGTGGTGTGTGTGTGTGTGAGAGAGAGAGATGACCCGGGGCGTGGCTCAAAAGCAACAAAGTCACAAAAGTAGGTAAAGTCCCTTTAATACCTCCAACTTGGCCCCCAATGTCCAGTTATCATTGGCTGGAGACAAAACTCTCCCAAGAACAGTTTTCAAAGGGAAAAAATTCAGTCCGAACCCAAAGTACATCTAAATTATAAATAAAAACCAACACAAACCACGCTGCAGCAATTAACGAGACAGGGCAGGATAAGGAATTGCAGACTTCAAAAGATAACGAAACACACACAGTTGGGAGGACGCCGGAACCCAGATAAGACGTAACAAACAAAAATACTTCACGCTTTGCTTCCAGCAAGGTGCTGTGCTCAAACACCCTTTTAAAATCCTGTTTTCCCAGCTGCAACTAATGAAGGAAATCAGGGCCCTTTTCTCCCCCGTAACCCACATTGCTCCCTTATCCATTCCTCCCTGCGTGCCCTAGGATGAAGAGGGGGTGGCCCTGGGTCTTCCTCTGAATGCCCAGCCGGACTGTGCCTTGCCCAGTTTCTTCTACAGCCACTGGAGCCACACTCCCTGTCAGCTGGTCCCCCTCCCCCTCGGAATCAGATTCCAACAGGGGCATGACAGTGTGTTTGTGGGCACACGGGTGTGTATAAACTCAATAAGGTTGTGGCTGCAATAGTATTATTAATGCCTTTATTATTTTTTACTTTCCTCTTTTATTGGCTGTATTCTTCTTCTTATATTTTATTGTTTTGCAAGTACACTGAATGTTTCTGTATCGGACACAAATACCTTGTGTGTCTAACCACACTTTGCCAAATAATAATAAAGTACTGGTAGTCCTTGACTTACAACAATACATTTAGTAACTGTTCAAAGTTAAAACAGCACAGAAAAAAAGTGTCTTATGACCGTTTTTCACACTTACGACCATTGTAGCATCCCTACGGTCACCGAATGAAAATTCAGAGGCTTGGCAACTGTCTCATATTTATGACGGTTGTGGCGTCCCTGTGTCCTACGACAAGCAAAGTCAACGGGGAAGCCAGATTTACTTAACAACCCCGATACTGGCTTAAATCTGCAGCGATTCACTAAACAACCCTGGCAAGGAAGGTGTGATGACCCAGGGTGGGATACAAAAGCAACCAAGTCACAAAAATAGGTGAAGTTCCTTCAACTTGGCTTCAAAGGTCCAATTATAACAAATAACAGATAATCAGAGTTGGAAGGGACCTTATAGGTCATCTAGTCCAACCCCCCCCACCCAAGCGGGGGACCCTACACCATTTCTGACGAATGGCAGTCCAATCTCTTCTTGAAAGTCTCAAGTGACGGCGCTGCCACAACTTCTGAGGGCAAGGTGTTTCATTAAAACAGGAGCTGGCTTCCCTTTCTGTGTTTCCAGTTGGATTCCTCCTTTCTAACCAGTAGCATCTTCACTGTATCCCCCAGCTATATTTGATGTCCTATTGGGGATCTGCCCCCAATCTGGAACACCAGTTCACCAATTACAGAGAAAGTCTCCTGTGATGACCCAGGGTGGGATACAAAAGCAACACAAGTCACAAAAACAGGTGAAGTCCCTTGAATTCCTTCAACTTGGCCTCCAAGGTCCAATTATCATTGACTGGAGAAAAAAACTCCCCCACAAACAGTTGCGAAAAGGAAGAACTTCAGTTCCAACTCAAAACACATATAAATTATAAATAGAAAATACAACAACACAAACCAGACTGAAGTAATTAGTGAGACAAGGCAGGATAAGGGCTTGAAGACATCCACAGATATCGAAATACACACACTGGGAAGGATGCCAGAACTCAGATAAGAACTGACAGACTAGAATTATTTCAGGCTTTGCTTCCAGCACTGGGCCATGCGCAGTTTGTCCTATTTAAACAGTCCTCACAGCTACAGCCCATGAAGGGGATCAGGACCCTTTCCTCCCCCATAGACCACACCATTCACGTTTCTCCCTTATCTGCTCCTCCCTGCGTGCCCTAGGATGAAGAGGGGATGGGCCTGGGTCTTCCTCTGAATGCCCAGCCAGCCTGAGCCCTTCCCCAGTTTCCTCCACAACCTCCAGAGCCACACTCCCACTCCCTGTCAGCTGTTCCTTCTCTCCCTCGGAGTCAGACTCCAACAGGAGCACGGCAGAAGGTCATAAAACGGGGCCCAAATTCACTGAACAAATATTTCACTTAGCCACATCCATTTTGAGCTCCATTGCTCTGAAAAGAAACGCTCTTAAAAGAAAACCAGGCCTTTTATTTCTAAGTTCCACTTTTTACGGGGCCTAAGAAGGAGAAGCATTGAAGCAAGTGAGAAGTTAACGAAGCTCTGGACATTTTTCTTTTGTCTGAGGAAATGGGCTTTAAAATGGCAAAGAGCAAAATGTGCAAGGGAGCGTAAAGTGTAAAATATGAGGGCAAAAATATCTAATGGCACAAATGAGCCGACAGGTATTGGAGTGACGGTAACCAAGAAAGTATAGCTCAGTGCAAAGACAGATCCAGCTATAAGGGAAAAACAAGGAAAACCAACTTCCTACTCAGAGATCGTTAGAAAAGAATTGTTATAGGTAGTCCTTGACTTACAACCATGTTTCTTTACCTTAGCAACTTTTAATGTCAACTCCTAAAATATTTCTATTGTCTTTTTAGAATTGCCAACAGAAAGGGAGGGGGAAGCAGTGCGGCAGCTTGCGTTCCATAAATGTTTTCAAAGAAAGTTTCTAGGTGACTGAAGTTTCTGCCGTGCAAAATTCTAACTGGAGAGTGTGATTGATGACTCTTGGCTATGGATGTGTCCCATTGGAGAATGTGTATTGTGATACACCCAGGCAGTGCCAGCATGTTTACTCCTAATAAATCTTCTTTAAGTTTTGGAAGTTCGGCTCGAGACTCATGATTTAAATGGGGGTAACGGCCAGAGCCCTGACAGCTAGCCAACTCTGAGACACATCATTCATTGTCATCCTTGACCCTGGTTTTCCCCCTACCCCCTGGGTGTATCGTAATTCATATATTCTCCAATGGGACACATCCATAGCCCAGAGTCATCAATCGTGTTCTCCAGTTAGAATTTTGTGCGGCAGAAACTTTGGTCACCTAGCTGCTATTCTTTGAAAACATTTATGGAATGCACTTTCGGTTTGCAAGCTGCCGCACTGCTCCCCCATCCCTTTCTGTTGGCATCTCTAAAAAGACCAGAGAAATATTTTATGTGTTCTAAATGAACTGTATAGTGTATAGTGGATTTATCTGTGGTTTTTTAGCCTTTATCTCCAAATAAAATTATAACAGTATGATAGATGTATACAGATAGTCCTTGACGTACAACAGTTCATTTGGTGACTTTTAGAAGTTACAGTGGCCCTGAAAAATTAGAATGGAATGGAATGGAATGGAATAGAATAGAATAGAATAGAATAGAATAGAATAGAATAGAATAGAATAGAATAGAATTCTTTATTGGCCAAGTGTGGTTGGACACACAAGGAATTTGTCTTGGTGCAAATGCTCTCAGTACACATAAAAGTTATGACCCTTTTTCACATTTACGACCATTGCAGCATCCCCCATGGTCACATGATCAACATTCAGCCGCTTGGCAACTGGCTTATATTTGTGACAGTTCCAGTGTCCCCGGGGTCATGTGATCCCATTTTTGTGACCTTCTGACAAGGAAAAGTCAATGGGAAAGCCAGATTCACTTAACAACCAGGTTACTAACTGCAGTGATTACCTTAACATTTATGGCAAAAAGGTTGTAAAATGAGGCAAATCTCGCTTAACCAATAACAATGGAAATTTTGGGCTCAGTTGTGGTCATAAGCAGGCGTGGGCTGCTACCGGTTCACACCGGTTCAGATGAACCGGTAGGTAATTTTATGGTCGCTTTATGGCCAGTTTGGTGAACCAGCAAATCCCACCCCTGGCTGGCCCCACCCACCCCTCCCCTTCCCTCCCCTCCCAGGAGTCCCCACACAGTCCATTTTAGATGCCAGGTAAGTACAGGGCCCCCTTGAAGGCTCAGGGAGGGTGAAAAATGAGCCTCTCAAAAGCTCCGGAAGGCCGGAAACGAGCCAATTTCTGACCTCCAGAGGACCTCCGGAGCCCAGGGAGGCCATTTTCACCCTCCCGGAGGCTCAAGAAAAATCCTCCGGAGCCCGGTGAGGGTGAAAACAGCCCCTCGCCCCGCCGTGGTGCAGGAGGCCGATTAGGCCACGCCCATCATGGCCACGCCCACCCAGCAACCGGGCAGAGAACCAGTTGCTAAAATCTGTGAAGCCCACCCCTGCTCGTAAGTCAAGGACTACCTCTATACAGTTCTGTTTGGCACTGAGAGCATTAGGGGAGGCCAAGATATTTTTCCTTCTGACATTACAACTCCAGTTCATCTAATGACACTAAATGGGCGCCTATTGAGGACGTACAAAAGGAAGGATAATTTTACTCAGCACGCAACTGGCTTGTGGAGTTCCCTACTGCAAGTTGTAAACACGGCCATGGATTTTCAGACTCCTTTAAAAAAAAAAAAAAAAGGGAACTGGACGTACTGACAGAGAATAAAGGTTCTCCGTTCCTTTTTAGTTATTATGTTAGATAATTACGAATCCATCAAGTTCTTGGGAAATGTGTTTCCTGTCTTTTTCCTTTCTTTGGCAGAAAAGAATATTTCATTCTTAGAGAGCGCCGGACATCTCAATTTCTAGAGAAAAAAAACCCCATACAATCATACTTTTTAAAATTGAGGCTGGTAATAACTAAATTGGGGAGAATTTAGTTATAACGTCCATCTTTTTTTTTAACATCGCTTGCGAGTTGGAAACTTTAGTGTTTCTCAACCTGGGCAATTTTAAGGTATGTAGTCTTCAACTCCCAGAATTCCCCAGCCAGATGGAAGGGCCACATACCTTCAAAGGAATTCTGGGAGTTGAAGTCCACATACCTTTAAGTTGCCAAGGTTGAGAGACTCTGATCTAAAGGAATAGATTTGATTAAACAGGCTTTCTGCTGCAATCATCTGGAGCTCTGTAGAAAAGTCTTCCCGAATAGAATAGAATAGAATAGAATAGAATAGAATAGAATAGAATAGAATAGAATAGAATAGAATAGAAT